ATATGTATATATATATATATATATAAATTATTATTTAATGATATATATAAAAAACAATCGAGGATGATGAGGTGACTTTATATCAAGTGTAATATCTATTCCTATTAGTTTAATATTGATTTATGACCATCGACCCATTTAACTTCAATATTTTCTAAAAAAGTTAATTGATCGCGCAATGCGCGATGCCGATCACTAGTTTGAAAATATATTCAAAACATTTCGTATGCAACAATATTTAGTTAGCACTTATTACATATAGAGGGGTATACTGGTCATTTTTTCCGGTTAGACTTGGTTTGGTAACCAAACATTTTCATCTCTTATTCGAGTTAGACTTCTTACCATAGTAAGTACTTACCCAAAAAATTTAGTAAACAATCCCTTAGTCTTAAACCGTTGTGAGATGTATCTCATGTATGAATCTTTATCTTTACTGACAAATTCAAAACTTATTCAGATTTCATCAAACGTCAGTATGTACCTAAATACAAACATTGTTTAAAGAATTAAGTGTAATGCTCTCTAACCTTTTTTCTCTTCTGTAATGTATGTTGTTTTTCCACAAGAAAGTCCTTTATTTATCATCCTTTTCGAGATCTTAATTTCAAAGTCGTCTTCATCTATCAAAAGAATCTGTTGTGTTCTTAAACTTTGAAAACAAATTTTTCAGCATAGTTCGTTCACTCCTTCTTTGAACGGATTCATTCAAAACTCTAAAGTTAGTATATAATAAAATTCTTCGGAATAGAGGATTAATCGTTTTTTAATTACCTTGATTTCTTTCATTCATGAATCCCCTGTTGATTGTCTTCTACCATTATTTGAACTGTTTGCTCCAGATTATTCGTATACCATAAATCGATTTGTGTGAGGAGGAGAATGATTATCGATGACAAGATTTTATAATTTTCATTCTCCAATTTTACCCTTATTTGAACATTGATTTGTGAAAACGTGTGGGTTATTCATCTAATAATCACAGAATTGCCATTATTTTATCTTGGCCGTTGATAAAAGATAAAATAATGGAGGGTTATGATTGACTTGTATATGTTGTAACAATATTCATGAGTTGCATAATAAACTGCCTCATTCTCTCTCTCTCTCTCTCTCTCTCTCTCTCTATATATATATATATATACACACACACACACACACATTATATAATAAATCATTTGACAAAAATTCTTAAAAACTATTTTTATGCATGGGGTACTGTTTATTGAAGCATATTACTTAAAATTCAAGATTACATGTTTTTTTTCCCATTTTACCCTTTCGTGTCTCCAATATGAATTCTGTTTTTTTTTTCTTTTACTTTACTTATTTGGTTTGTTTCAATCTTGACTTTTCATAAAAAAATGAATAGATGTGATTAGTTTGTAAAGTTTATATGAAATGAATTGTTTGAAAAATAAACCTTCTCTCTCTCTCTCTCTATCTCTCTCTCTCTCTCTCTCTCTATATATATATATACTAGAATGGTACTCGCATAATGCAGGAAGATACATCTCGATTTTAATGTTTTTATTTATTATTTTGTCTCAGTCGATGTGATAATACAGTTTTATGTGATTTTGAGAAAACGATAATGTTTTTAAGTTTTGAATAAAATATAAATATGAAAATCTCATAAAAAATGAAAAAAAGAGATATTGATTTTAGTATCAAACTAACTATTTAAAAATTTCTCTTTTTTTTCTATATTTCTTTATATTTTTTTTTTTGGTTTAATAATATAATTTTTTATAAAGATAATAATTATGTATTTTGTTAGAACTCAATGATTATCCTAGTTATATTTTAGTTTTTTTATATTTAAAATGAAATGTTTATTCTCTATTTGATTACGTTTATCTGCAGTTAATTATATGAATTTAAACACGAAGCTTTAATAAGTTGTACATATGCATAATTTATTTCTAATCTTGAATTTTAAGTAATATACATCGATAAATTATACTTCATACATAAAAAATATTTTTTAAGAATTTTTATCAAATGTTTTATAATATAGTATAAATATACATACAATAAATACTTATACACACTCCTTATTATTATTTTTTTTCTTTTTATGAGATTGTAATCTCGTGAAAGACCGGAATTTCATTGGTAACTTGGATACCAAGAATTCCATCTGAATTAATAATCTAAAGACTAAAAACAATATTTTGGATTAAATCTAAATCAATATAATTTTCCCCAAAACTATTCTCATTAATATATCTACTTTTATAAGATTAAATAAACACATTAAATAATTAAACCCATAATCAACGTCATACAATCAACTAGGAACCTTCCTGTATTCTTCAAGTGAACACGAACTCCAGAAATAAAGAAGAGAAAAACTTGATAAATCCAATCTGCTGATTGGTGATTTCATTCATCCTATAAATAAGTTTATCAAATCCTAAAATAAAGCCTAATAATACGATAGTAATGCAAATCAACTAATGAAACCAAACAAAATAAATACTATTTTAAATCCTAACCATCCTTATCCGCAACCAAGTCTTTAGGCTTTATCCATCACGTAATCTTGTTGCCATGTTGGAGTAACGGGTACTCTTCCTATGTTTCATCAGTTTTTACGTGTTTCATCAATGTCATCTGTTTAGTCGTATGTTTCATCAGTGATTACATGTTTCATCAGTGATTACATGTTTCATCAGTGATTACATGTTTCATCAATGTTATCTGTTTGTGCATATGTTTAATCATTGATACCGGTTACATAAAAGATATCTGTGAATTGCAAATTGTTCCATCAAACATGCATCCACATATTTAATTGTGTTCACTTTTGAAATTGTGTATGTCTTGCTGAAAATTAAGTAGACGAATGAAATTGTGTTCAACCATGTTATCTAGTAATATATGCAAATTTTATTCGTAAACATGAGTTCACATATGAAACCATGTTTACTTACCATTTCACTCTTGAAACTGTGTTCACTCATGAAACATAGATTTAGTTATTACTTGAGTTCACTTAAGAAATTTATATTCACTTGTGAATTAAGTTCACTTATAGAATTTGGGATTACTTATGAATTTGTGTTCTTATGCAGATGTATAGTACATATAACTTAGGGGTTGTTTATCAAACATTTATTCTGTAAGTGTTTATCAGTAAGATTCAACACTATCACTTATGCTACTTGCCACCAGGTTCGTCCTATCAAAATGACATCGTATGAAACAATTACCAGATAAACGCTAACCGCGTAAGAGTCATTGCCCTCACTTACAGGTAAGATTCTCGGTCCTTTCTATTGCTCTTATCGGGTAAGATTTTTGGTCCTTGCCACGTTTATCGTTAAGGTAATATGATTTTTTAAACACTTACCGGGTAAGCGTTTGATAAACGGCCACTTAACTTCACTTGTATTTTATTCAAAAGTTAATCCTCATACCACTTAACTTCATCAAAACGTATTTTAAGACTCTTGCAAACTTCATCACCTGCCAGAATCAACGATTGCATTGAAGAACCGACTTTGTCGTCTAAGGGAATAAACCTATCTTCGGATTCAAAAACGTCTCTCATGCAAATGATAGAATTTAATGGATCAATTAATGCTAATTTTAAATGCAAGCGAGAAATTAAGATCCTTAATATGAAACCACCGTAAAAAATTGTTGAAGGAAGAGACCATCACTGGAAAGAATCGATGAAAGAAGAGACCATTTCTGGAAAAAATTTAATGCAAAATTCTAGAAAAAATCGATGAAGCAAGAAACGTGTATTAACTAAGATATCTCAATATTTTTTAGAAACAATTACAAACTTATTCATGGAATGCAATCCCATTAATTCTGAATAATTATTATAAAAAATCAAAAAAAAAAATCAATAATTATGTTCTATTTAGAATTTTCGATATTACTCTTTAACAATTTAAAAAATGAAAAAAAGGAAAGTATTAAATGGAAGATTTGAATTGGGGTTGCATTGTTTGTAACAATGTAATTGGTTGTATTTGAAATATACTATATATATATATATATATATGTGTGTGTGTGTGTGTGTGTGTGATTTGTTATACAACTCATTACATTTGTACAACTAATACAATTCAAATTTAACTATCCATTTAATTTGATGAATATGCAATTTCATAAAGGATTTGATTGTGTATTGATCATAATTAATGAACTCTAGTTATCTTCCATAATTATTCAAATCATAATAAAAGAACTCTCATCATTTTCATAAATATCTCAATTGATTAGGTTGTATTGGTTGTACAAATGTAATAAGTTACATCGAAAGGTCCTATATATATGAATAATACATTTTAGTTAACAAAATAACAAATATATCCTTGATTAATGTATCTGTGTCCTTTTTTAAGAGCTTGATTCTTTTATTGCCAAAGAAGTCAGTAAACAAAGGGTAGAAAGGTCATATAAGCTTACAGGGTGAAGGACATATATGGAAACAACAAGTTTCCGTACATATCTTATTGACATGAAATAAATCTAATACAACATCATCAATCAATTTACACAAGAAATAACACACCAAGCCACACATACCCGTGCCCGAAACAATTCCCCAACGTCGGCCACGCTGCCGACGCTTGGACTTGGTCGTCCGTGACTCCCTCGATCTGAAACAAGCTGCTGGCCTTGACCGCATTCGTGGATTCGCCATACGCTATCTCATGGTTCTTCGCGTTTATAACGTACACCCTTACAAAATACGTAGCCGTGGGGATATCTCTAGGAATGGTCCAAACAAACGAGTTGTTTGAACGTTTGTATGGCCCGTCCATGATGTCAAACGGGCAGGTCTTGTCGTTATCCAGATTATCATCTGTTTTGCGGTCATCTCGGCCGCTCTGGCTAACGGGTGCGTAGCATAACTTCACTTCCACGGTGGTGTAGTTTGAGTCGGCCACGGTTGGGAGGGTCTGATTGTACGACCACGTGATCGTTACTTGATCTACCCCTGTCTTCAAAACTGCAAAAACATCGATCGGTTACGTTATATCTTTTAGTTTATTTCAACCATACAGATGTTAACGATTCGAGCAATTTCAAACGTACGTACCTTTGTCGGGTGCGGTTGAAGTCGAAACAGTGAGGGATTGGTTAAGGGCAGAGAGGTGGACATTATGAGCATATGAAGCAGTTGCAAAGCAAGAAAAAAGAAGAAGAAGAGCAGCAAGATGAACCTCCATTGAAGGGTTGACTTTTGAAGTTAAAAAGTCAATTCCTTTTCTCTTAATCGCCACTTATTATGATTTCAGAAGCTCTGCCAATGGACTACTTATAGTGGATTAAATTACTGTTAATTTATGATATTGTTTTTTAGTTTGAGGGATTCGTTAAGAGTGGTAGATGATTGGTTTGAGCTTGACTCTAAAAATCAAAAGTAATAGGAAGTTCTAAGTTCAAATCCAAGGAGGAATAAAAATTCTCTTGTGGTCATAGGGCTATTTGCAAAGCAGGTGATCGTTCTGAAATTAGTCGGCTCACATAACGGGTTGGATATCCAGGTTAATAAAAAAAAAATTTACTTCTAAATTCTCATTTTAGTTTTTCAATTTCTTTTTAACAAATTTCGATTCTTTTCAATTTAATAAAAAAACCCAGAATGTTTAACTTTATTTTAATAAATTACGATGACATTTTTTATATATGACGTACACTTACTCATCGTTGTTCTCTTAAACT